CCCTCGCAAACGCCCCAGACCGCAGCATCGTCCTCTTGCACGCATGTGCGCACAACCCCACCGGCGTTGACCCGACTCCTGAGCAATGGCGCGAGATTGCTGCGATCCTCAAGCAGAAGAACCACTTCCCCTTCTTCGATACCGCCTATCAGGGTTTTGCCTCTGGTGATCTGGACCGCGATGCCGGCGCGATCAGATACTTTATCGAGCAAGGGTTCGAGCTCGTCATTGCTCAGTCGTTCGCAAAGAACTTTGGCCTCTACGGAGAGCGCGCGGGCTGCTTTCACTATGTCGCTTCCCCCGCCCCAGACGCAGCGAACACCACCACCCGCGTCGCTTCCCAGCTTGCCATCCTCCAGCGCTCAGAGATCAGCAACCCGCCCATCTACGGCGCAAAGATTGCTTCAATCGTACTCAACGACCCCGCGCTCTTTGCTGAGTGGCAGGCGAACCTCAAAACCATGTCCGGACGCATCATCTCGATGCGTGAGGCATTGCGGTCCAAGCTCGAGGAGCTGGGCACTCCCGGCCAGTGGAATCACATCACTGACCAGATCGGCATGTTCAGCTTTACTGGACTGACTGAGGCGCAGGTGCAGAAGCTCCGTGAGGATTTCCACATCTACATGACCAAGAATGGTCGCATCAGCATGGCTGGTCTCAACACTAAAAATGTCGAATACGTTGCCAAGGCCGTTGACAGCATTGTCAGGGCTACGTAATAAGAGGATGATGAATACGGGGCGTTAATAACTGGTTTGGCGTCTCATGGCAGAGCTTCTATTGGAACGGGCTCAAGTGGCTGATTAGATTTCGTGACTGTTGAATGAAAAGCAAAACGGGAGTTGATGTGTTGTATGCGATGCGCGTTGTCTTTTTCTTTCTGTTTGAGAGCTTGTTTTGCTGGACGTTGGGTTGGGCATAGCAAGTTTGGGATGGGATACACACACATACAGAGGGCTTTGCCGGCTATTGAGCTCAGGTTTTTGGGGGCCAAGTAATGTCTTTGCTCCCAGTGATTTGGTTTTTTTTTGGTTTTTTTTTATTGCCCTTGAGCGGCGTAGAATACTTATGAAATGATAGATTCTTGAAAAGGGACCAGGGATCTGTGTCCCTCCTCCCCTTTTTTTCACTCTCACAACAATATTGTATCATCTTTTGCCTCGTCATTCACTGTTTCTTGATACTTCGCACTTCACAAGCCTTCTAGAAAAAAAGAATTATGGGTCCAGTTATTATTTATTATATGCAGATGGACAGCAACGGCCGTTATTATTTTTATCATATCAACAAATCCCAGATCACAAGAAAAGCAGATAACCCCGCGGCAGCGAAGAAAGTGTACCGGGCAGGGCTGCTCCTCTCCGTGCTCTTTTTTAGCTCCTTGTTGCCCTTTCCTATCCCCTCCGTCGTCTCGAAGGACTCGGCGACCAATTGGTCGATGTGGGCGGACTGGGTGGTCAAGTTGCCTACCAACAGATTTTGGAGCTCGGCTATTTCCAGGAGTGATTTTTCTGCGGTTCTGGGTATTCGTAAAGTTAGAAAAGCGCGCGCGTGTGTGTGTGTGTGTGTGTGTGTTTTTAGAGGGGAAGTAATGCTTAATAACGAACCTGACTTTATCTAATGTGCTTTCGAAATGTTTTAGCATGTCGTGGTTTCCCTTTTCAAACATTTGTTTTTGTTCTTGGGTGAGGTCGTCGTCTTGTGATAATGGCGGGCGTGGTTTTTGAAGTCTTCTTTCTTCTTCTTCTTGGAGAGGGATAGTACTACTACTAGTGGTGGTGGTGGAAGCAGTAGCTGCAGTGGCGTTCCAGCCGTTTGCTGACCTCGTCTTGGCCAGCACGCTCCTGTTCTTTTCCATTTCCCTCGTGAGACGGGTCTCCATCATCTTCTGCTGAGTTTTTGCCGTCTCTTGGAGGCGCGTGCGGAGGTACAGGATGATGCTTTCCCTGTGCGCGCCGAGCTGTCTGGCGGTGGATTCGGCGAGGAGGTGCTCGTCGGTTTTCTTGGGGAGGTTGAGCCCTGCTGAGCCGGCGACCCAGGAGCCTAGAGCACCCAGGCCTCGGGAGAAGCGCTTGCTGAGGAGGGCTGTTTCGGTGCTTTGGCGGAGCTGTTCGGCGTCTTCGAGGGCACGGATGCGGGCGTTGAGGTCGCGGAGTGTCATTTTGGCGTTGGCGTCGATTTCTTCGCGGTCCCGGTCCGTGAGGGATATCGGTTTCTGAGAAGAGGAGACATTTCGGAGGTGGTGTGTTTTGCGAGGAGCGGCGGTTGAGAGGTAGGCCTGACGGAGGTTGCGAAGTTCCGAGTGAAGACGGGCGACGAGGGCGTTGATCCGATATGCTTCTTTGAGAAACTCGTCGGCTGTGTTGGTGGTAAATGGTTTTGTTGAAGGTGCTTCACGGCCCTTAAGAAGGGCGTTGAATGCCGTCGTAAGGTCGGCCATATTTTTTTTTCGGTGTTGGTGATGTTGGGATACACAAGCTTGGACTTCAATTGGGAACAGCTTCGTGGCTTAATGACGATGTTTGGACCCCGGATGGATCATGCTGATTGGTGAAGCCACCCACCCATTCTGGGGCCGAACCGGCCCCACTTCTTCGTCCAGTCTTCGAAGTTCGGTGCATCATCAGAACGCTTCCAATTCACCCCGCACATCCACTTTGCTACATCACAATTCACCGCTTGCCCTTGGGAAATCTCCGCCAATGCATGTGTGTGTACTTGGTCTAGACAGTATGGACTAGTGATGCATGAACGATCCTGCTCAGGGCAGTTGCGTTATCATCCCTCTCAATGAAGCCCTCATGACGACTTTACTAATACATCTCCCATGACCCCACAAATCCAGCGATCTCGGTGCCGTTGACGGGTATAAGTGAAAGAGTTTTTGTGCACACAAAGTATGGAATACTGATCTACTTACCAACACCTTATATTAGCTCATCCATCATAGCTCCTCTTTCTTGCCCCCGATGGCGGCTCCGGGAATAAACTCGCCGGCTTTTCGCGGTTATCGATGCCGAAGCCGTTAGACTTCCTCTTCCCCTGCCAACGACGTACTGCAAGTGCACCGCAAGTGTATTACCAGGTGCAGCAGACCGATCTCGTTCAGTGGGGGCAAAGATAGACTAAATACTCCATATATATCAAGATTTTTCCACAAGGTTTTCCATGTTTACTTCCGACTCTTCCGTCAGTTATTTTTTCCCATTGGGGATATTCCCAGTTTGAACTCAAAACAACAACAGCAGCATGACCATCGAGGAGACAGCCTCCTCGTCCGGCACTGATGATGACGAACGGTCACCGCCAACACCCGTCGTAGACCCCGAGTCTCTTGCTCGAGTTTCCAGCGGTCCAGCCTACAGTGTCTTCTCCAAGGCCACAAAAGGATGGATCGTGGCCATGATCGCCTTCGCGAGCTTCGTCTCCCCCATGACGGCTAATATCTACTTTCCGGCACTCGTCCCGATATCTAGAGACCTCGGTGTGTCGGTTGGCCTCATAAACCTTACTCTTACGACATACATGATATTCCAAGCGATTGCTCCTACCCTTGTTGGTGATCTGGGTGACATGGCCGGGAGGAGACCGGCATTCATCATTGCGTTTATCATCTACATCTTTGCCAATCTTGGCTTGGCGTTGCAAGACAACTACGCTGCGTTGCTGGTGTTGCGGGCTGTCCAGAGTGCTGGAAGTAGCGGCACATTGGCTTTGTCCTTCGCTGCTATCGCAGATGTTGCTGTCAGTGCAGAAAGGGGCAAGTACATGGGCATCATCTCAGCGGCCATCAATGTTGGACCTGCCCTGAGCCCTGTGTTTGGAGGGCTGCTGTCAGAGTACTTTGGATGGAGAGCTGTCTTCTGGTTCTGTCTGGCATACGCGGGCGTCTGGCTTGTTCCATATGCACTTTTTGTCCCGGAGACATGCAGAAACGTTGTAGGGAACGGATCGATTCCTCCTCGCGGTTGGAACAAGACGGCCATTGACTTGATTCGCGCCCATCGTCAACATCGCAATGAGAGTTCCGAGGAACAACCCGCAGAAAAACGAAAAATTCGCTTCCCAAACCCTTTCAACACCCTAAAAGTCATCTTCGAGAAAGATATGGCCCTCGTCCTCTTCTACAGCACCATGACCTACCTGGTCTTCATTCTCATCACGGCAACAGTCAGCACCGAGTTCGCTGACATTTACCACTTCACCGACCTCCAGATCGGCCTCTGCTACCTCCCCTACGGTCTAGGATGCTGCGTAGCTGCTGTGGTCCAAGGTTACGTCCTCGATGCCAACTACCGCCGAGTGGCCCGCAGGATAGGCTTCACCATCAACTATAAACGAGGAGACGACCTCACAAACTTTCCAATCGAAGAAGCCCGTATTGTGCCCGTCTATCCCTTCCTGTTTACCGGCGCCGCAGCTGTAATCTGCTACGGCTGGGTCCTCCGCGCCGAGACTCACCTGGCTGGGCCGCTGGTGCTGTTATTCGTCATCGGCTTGTGCGTTACGGGTTCCTTCTCGCTGCTTAACACCCTCGTGGTGGACTTGTACCCCCAAGCTCCCGCGACCGCCGTGGCTGCTAATAACCTTGTTCGCTGTCTGTTTGGTGCTGGAGGCACCGCCGTTATAGAGCTGATGCTGAAAGCGATGGGGAGAGGGTGGTGTTTTACCTTTTGGGCTCTTGTACTGGTCGCCTTTTCGCCTACTTTGTGGGTGTTGACGAGATGGGGTCCTAAATGGAGGGAAGAAAGACGTCTGAGACAGATAGAGCAGCAGAAGAAGAAAAACGAAAGTGAAGTGAAAAAGTGAAAAGAAAATTGAGGGTGTACATAAAGGATATATTGTAAATAGAGAGATAATTTTGACCGCATATATTAATGTTGATAATGTAGCAATGGATGCTAATACATGAAGCCATTGGATAGGTGACGACGCGTCTATGAAGAACAAAAAGCAAAAATCCAATGAGAAGAAAAATAAACAAAAAAAAGCTGTTCTGCTAGAGCCGGGATTTGCACCCGAGTCTTCACTTTGGAAGAGTGACGAGTTAACTACTACTCCACTCCAGCTTCTGCGCATTACGCCACGGTCTTGTTTGTTTTCTGTTGTTTGGTGGTTCTCTAGATTGTTCAATAATACTCTGGGGCCATTGGTTGGCTGGCAGGGCATGTGGTGTGAGTAGAGATGGGCAGGAAGGGTGTTTGTTTGTCATCTACTCCTTCCCTGCGGCTCGCCGAGACACGATGACGGGCACTCTTTCCCGATCAGAATTCTATGTAAGCAGATCGAAAAAAATATGGAAAGTGCAATACACGAAGCACCTGGTGCTCTTGATATCCTTTACCTTCTATGGTATTCACTTGTCTACGCCTTTCTTTGCCCGTGTTCAACTCTATGCAACCCGTGTATACTACACGCCACGGAATCCTTGCGCACGGCATCACTTCCTGATCCATCATAATGGTCTGGAGTATGTGATTAATAACGTCTCTTCTAAGTCGATTCGTTGTCCCTTGCCGCTTGCTTATTCATTTAAAGTGCAGCTTGTAAGAGACTTGGTAGCACTTGCACTTGTGGGGGCACTTATTCACCTAGTTTGCTCACAGTAGGTGAAAGTGAACGTTTAATGTAGACGTACAATGAGATTATACTTGTTGCACCCAAATATATAATAATATTCTGTAAAGTGACTGAGCTGGGCTACTTTGAGCAGAGTCTAGTAGTTCCCATCGTTGTGATAATATCAAGTTAAGAAGACAGTTGATAAGAATGAAAAAAAAGAAGTAAAAAAGAAGTAAAAATGACACACGCGCGATGCTTATCCCTATTTCGCCAACCAAAGATGCAAACCATAATAGCCATGACGAAAACGAAGACAGACTTTCCACACCTTGAAGTATTTCTTTCTCCTGGAAAGAAATGACCGCCCTCCCCCCCCCAAAAAAAAAATCCATGCCTGCCCGCCTACCAATCCATCACTTTGTTCAAACACTTAATCATTTCAAAAATCCAAAGTCCCGCCACCATCCGTAATCATCATTCATCTCATGGCTTTCATCCAAGTAAAATGTCTCATATTATTCCGTTCATCACTCATTCCTTGCTCACCAACCTCTTCCACCAAGAGCTCCTTGGCGTGGAATCCATGAACATAGAACTCCTGCGGGGCTCGTGATTCCGCCCATCACTGCCATCCGATCCACCACGTCTCCCATCCCCGCGGTCACGGTCTCGGTCACGCTGATCCCTCACCCGTTCTCTGTCTCTGTCTCTGTCCCTGTCTCTGTCTCTATCCCTATCCCGGTCGCCTCGGTCTCTCACTGGCGCAACTTCCCTCTCCCTCTCCCTCTCCCTCTCGCGCTCCCTTTCTCTTTCCTCCCTCCGTTTCCTCCTTCTTCTTTCGTCATCATACTCCTCCGGGGTCATGTTGTTGCCATTCGGCCGAGGCGCATCATACCGATCAGGTTGCTGCTGCTGTTGCTGCTCAGCAGCTTGTCTAGCCCGGCGTCTCGCTCTCCGAGCCTCACGCCGGGCCTCCTCTTCATCAATCACCTCTTCAACAGGAGGCCGCTCTTCTTCCTCGTCTTCGTTATCCGGGGGCGGCGGTGCGTCAGAGTGGTCCTTGACCCAGGACGCAGTATGCTCCAGCGACTCATCTGGATAAACATAGTTCTGGGGAGGCGGTGGCGGTGGCTGCTCTACACGGCGCCTTGAATGCCGCTCCTCCTTGGTAACCTCGGTCTCACGAGCTGCGTAACGAGCCTCTCTTCTGCGGCGGCGCTCCTCCTCTTCATCCCGCACATCATCCTCCAGGTGTTGATGATGGTGGCTATTCTTGCGTCGCTCGTGGTGTCTGGCCGCACGACGAGCTTCCATCTCGGCCTCGGCAGCCTCGCGCTCAGCACGCAGTCTATGCCGCTCAGCTCTATCGGCTTCCACCTTCTCAGCAGCCCGGCGCTCCGTCTCCTCACGCGCAAGGCGTTGGGCCCTGCGCTCAGCACGTCGTGCCTCCTTCTCATCCTGCCGGCGTGCTTCGTCCTCCTCATCTTGCTGTTTCCGACGACGCTCACGCCGAGCCTCATCCTTCGCCTGACGGGCATCCTCAGCAGCACGATCTATCGCTGCCCGCTCAGCGGCTTCCTTCTCCACGCGACGGGCGCGCCGAGCAGCACGCCGAGCTTCCCTCTCAGCATCATCATCATCCTCCTCAACACCCCCGCGCCGTCCAATCTCCTCATCAGTAGTGGCAAAGGCGGTACTTCGGCGGCGGGGCGGTTCGGAACGTGGGTCGGGGCGTGCTTCGGCTTTGGGCTTCAAGACGCCACCAAACATGGATGAAAATCCACCAGAAGTCTTCTTGGCGCTCGAGCTGGAGCGCTTCAGAGAAGGGCGCGAAGGTGTCGCATCGACGGGGTCACTCATGACAATGTCATCATCTCGCGAATATTGCTGTTGTAAATATGAATTAGCTTGTTTTTCGAGACAGAGCTCTGAATTTAAGGTTAAACCCACCCTTGGTCGACGACGATCTGCTTTGTCGGGGCTGGGGATAGCATCGTTTGCACCGGACATCACATAGTCATCCTCTTGGTCCACATCCTTCCTGCTGCGCCGGCTTCCAGACCCGGAGATACCTAGACCTACACCGGTAGCGATCCCAGCGGCAGTTCCCACACCAAGAATTTTGGCCGCCTTGGAGGACATCATCTCCTCGGGAGGGGGGCTCATCATGCCTCCGGACATGTCCACAGATTGCCTGCGGGAGCTCGGCTTGCTGCTGCGGCCTTTGTCGCGCATTGATGCAGATCTTGATAGCGGCGGGGTACTGGCGAAAACACTCGAGAATCGTGGATGGTCTTTGATGCGGGATGCCTTGTCCATCCTGTCGATCTTTTCTGCATTGTCGGATCCAGAGTCCCTCGAAGATGACTTCTCGGGTTTTATTTCAGTCGGGTATGCCTTCATCCTCGAGCTAGACTCCTTTTGTTTGGATCTTGATGACGTGGTCTTAGGATCCTTGCTGGGAGTGGCCCCTGTCCACCCGCCCCACGATGCGTTGGCATCGCGGTTGACTTTTATCCTCTCCTTGTGCGACGAGCGCACGAGTGGAGGGGTCATTGGAGGGTCTGGAACGGCTGGCGGGGGCACTGGAACGGCAGGAGGTGGTGGCGGAGGACTGCTGTCCATCTCTTCGGGGTATTGCACAACTCTGCGAGACTTTTTGTTGCTTTTCTTCTCCGGCGCCAGGTCGATAACTTCGATAATGTCATCCTCATCTCCGGAATCCATATGTAGATGCGCACGATGGGGAGAACGATGTCGCGAAGAATGATACTCGTCCTCAAATGGGAAGCTGCCTGGCAAACCAGTCTTGGACAAATGCGGAGGGAAGTGAGGTGTGAAGGGTACCGACGGTGGAGGCGGAGGAACCGCCGCCGTAAACGCTTCGACGTCGATTATCGCGGGTTCGCTTCTGTCTTTGCTCCTATCCTTATCCTTGTTTCTCTTGTCTTTGCTCTTTTTCTTCTTTCTCTCTTCCTTTGGCGAAATTATTTCAACAGGGGGTGGAGGAGGAGGAGGTGGTGGTGGGAAGCGCTTGTCTCTGTGGTTGTCGTCGTCTTCAAATTGATCTGGGTCCCGATCTTCGTAATTGAAAGCGTCGACGCGCTCGTTGCTATCGTGAAAGTCGTCGTCATTTGAGTTGGAGTCTGCATCGACGTCGTCGTGATATTTTACAGCCTCGAAAGCGCGCAGGCGCTGGAGGATTTTGCTGCCTGCGGCAGCCTTCTTAGCCTTCATTGGCTTATCGGTGTCTGGCGAAGGTGAGGACCTTGAAGAGTGCTGCGACACCGAGGTGGCGCCACCTGTGCCTATACCAATCGCGGCAGTTTCGAGGAGTTTGGATGACTCAGCCTGGCTAATCTCCCGAGTTGATGGTTGGGTGCCATCCGTGTTATCGGCAGGATCCTCCCATACATCAGGCATTGGGGGCGGTGGTGGCGGTGGTGGACTGCTGTTCTTGGCCTTGGACCCAAATGTCTTCCAGAAACTAAAGACATCTGGAGCGGCTGGTGGTGCCTTCATTAGGGGCTCCTCCTTAACTAGCAAGACCTCATCGTCCTCCTTATCCTCCATCTCGTGCTTTTCCTCCTCGCTCTCCAAACTCTTGTCCTTGGGAAGCTCTGAGAGGAGCTCTTCAATCTGTTCTGGAGTGAGCTCAACATCGTCCAGGTCCTTAAATTCGGCATCCTCTTCTTCCTCCACAACTTTCTTTTTGCCCTTGTCCTTGTCCCTGCTCTTCTCCTTACTCTTGTCCTTGCTTCTATCCTTGCCCTTCTCCTTATCCTTCCTTTTCTCTCGTTCTCTCTCTTTCTCTCTTTCTCTTTCCCTTTCCCTTTCCCTTTCTCGCTCCCTCTCTCGTTCCCGTTCCCGTTCCTTCTCTCTCTCCTTCTCTCTCTCTTTCTCTCTCTCCTTCTCTTTACTCCTGCTCTTAGGCTTCTCTTCCTTTCTGGACTTCTTCGACGACGTTATGACGGCTGCCGCTGCCGCTGCTGCTACCGCGGCCGCAGCTTCGGCTTCTTCGGCCTCTCTTATAGCTGCAGCGGCAGCTTCTGCCTCTGCAACCTCCCTTGCCGCAGCTTCCTCGGCCTCTTGACGATCCCGTTCAGCCTGTTCCTCGGCTGCTCGAATGGCCCGTTCTTCGGCTTCCTTGGCTGCTCGCTCTTCTTCCTCTTGGCGCTTCCGCTCCTGTTCAGCTTCCTCCTCAGCTTCACGCAGAGCCTTTGCCTCTGCTCTCATCTTGACACTTGACTCAAGCTCGTCAAGCCTTTCCTGATCAAACCGACCAGATTTCTTGGTCTTTTTGAGCCTTGACATCTTGGCCTTTAGCGCTGCCAGTTCCTTTTCCTCCTCCCTTGCCAGCTTTTCCTCAGCCTCTTTGCGTGCTTGTTCTTCGGCTTCTTTGCGTGCTTGTTCTTCGGCTTCTTTCTGTAGACGTTCCTCTTCGGCCTCGTCATCTGACTTATCCTTTGGGCTTCCCCAAGTATCTCTCCATGCATCCTGGTCGGGC